CAATCTGTATACACCTCCTAAGATACAGCAGTATCTTGAGAACCATCGGAAGCATATCTTGAGGCGGGACGGCCAACGAGCAACAACTTTCGATGATCTGCTCGAAGAAGTTCGGCTGCAAGACTTCAAAAAGCTCACTACCACGGACTTATCGCAAATAGCTGAACAGCTTCGAGGTACTCCAGTGAATGCTCGTCATAGCTCACCCCTGTTGGGGCATTGGTATGAGCTCAGCACCGAAAGGCGGGAGGACAAGCCTCGTAAGAGCTCTGTCGTTATTTCGTCCAGAGGAGCAATCGTCAGTCTGTTCAACGCCACTGACCCTGCGTCCCAGTTTCTGATGAAGGGCCCACCGACCAACGTATTTAAACCGGCCGGACTGACTATCTGCATTGATGGTCACTTTCTTGAGAACCATCGGAAGCATATCTTGAGGCGGGACGGCCAACGAGCAACAACTTTCGATGATCTGCTCGAAGAAGTTCGGCTGCAAGACTTCAAAAAGCTCACTACCACGGACTTATCGCAAATAGCTGAACAGCTTCGAGGTACTCCAGTGAATGCTCGTCATAGCTCACCCCTGTTGGGGCATTGGTATGAGCTCAGCACCGAAAGGCGGGAGGACAAGCCTCGTAAGAGCTCTGTCGTTATTTCGTCCAGAGGAGCAATCGTCAGTCTGTTCAACGCCACTGACCCTGCGTCCCAGTTTCTGATGAAGGGCCCACCGACCAACGTATTTAAACCGGCCGGACTGACTATCTGCATTGATGGTCACTTCCGAAGCTTCCGCAGTGGGAGCATTTGCGTAATTATTCTCTCGGTTATGAGAATTGGAAATCCCAACGCTAAACAGCTACGAAACGCTGCTTGTCCTTTATTGGTTTGCCTCTCGCTCACTGAGAACAAGCAGGCTGTCCGTCATATGATTGAGGTCTTTCGAAGGATGGCCACGACTTTCCACAAGTCGCCGGTATTGCCAGTTAGACTCATAAGCGACTCCGCCCCCGCCATCGTACGGGGCACGAAAATGTGCTTCCCGAACATTGTCGCTCAAAGATGTCACTTCCATGCTAAGCAGCGAGTGGATAGAGCACCAGCTCCCTCTGAGGGAAACAAAGGTGCGTATAAAAACTTCGTTCGTTCAAGGTTGGATTGGCTCCTAATGTGTGCTGGAGCCAGTATGTATCGAATGTATGCGGAGCTCGCTTTGGATGGTATCTATGAACGGTATGGTCTTCAGCCTCAGGCGTCTCAAGCAGTGAGTTTTTTAGGCAGTAGTCCCACATTGAAATTCTACTTCACTCAGGTACTCCAGCTGCTTCCAACCCGGTGTCGTTTCCACACTCGGTAGTTGCGAACGTACATCAGGCGTCTCGAGGCAGTGAGTTTTTTAGGCAGTAGTCCCACATTGAAATTCTACTTCACTCAGGTACTCCAGCTGCTTCTAGCCCCTCGCAGTTGATGCCTGAGAAGCCGAAGAGGGCGAAAAAGACTACGCTCGACAGGAAGATTGTTGACTCAGGTGATTGCTCGTGTTCGTGACATCCCACGCCGAGCATTACCCTTCAGCTACTCATGGTTCCGTGGCAACACCCTCCACGACCTCCTCTTCAGAAGTGGAGAAGCCTGCAAAGGAAGGAGCGTCAGATGTGGTTCTTGGTGAGTATGCTGTTTCTTCATTCAATTTTGGAACATCCCTTCCTCAGGGAAACGCGAGATCCGCACCCCATCTTGGTGGGATGCCAAAACTGTCGGTATCAAGATTGTCGGCCAAAACCGCAAGTAACGTGCTCGAATCCGATTCCTCAGAGGGGGTGTATGAGTTTTAATACATCCTTGCGCTCAACAACCGTAGTTGTGACTTTTTTTCTATACAGTACTTAGTACATTACGAGTATGTTACTTGACGTGTGTTATCCTTCTGCACTCCCAAAACTGAGAGAAGCGAAACTCTATTTCCTCGTAAAGTCGATAGTATCAACTATCTACCGTAGTGAGTCACTACTAGTGATCCAGCAGGTCATGCAGTTTTTAATAATGCGTTTAACCAAGTACGTTGCATGTTGTGTTAAGAACAGGACCTTTTCTCCGCTTGCGTACCATAACCCCGAACTCGGTGCGCTGTTGCTTGGATTATCGCCTCTGTCGCTTGGTTTAACACCATGTTGCTTGGAAAAAAAACTTGCTGGGCGGGCTAAATTTTTTTGCTTGGACCCTACCACCCTTGCTTGGATCGGTACCGTCACCCTCTAACCTCGGGGCAACCTGAGCAATTTCGGGGCGGGCGAAAGTACATGCCAACGTCCACTAGCGTACAAGCGCCTGGCCCCCTGACAGGCGTCACCGCTGAAATCCAGTCGAATGGCCTAGCGGTAAAGCGCGCAGTCCCTATCCGCAAGACCGCGAGTTCGATCCTTGGGCAGGACGGATCATGAAGTCGGGGAGAACGTTCACGCGCCACGAAAAGCTACGCGCCGTAAAATATTCGCTCAGAAAACGATTTTCTCATACCCAAATTTCGCCTTCTGGAATACGTTTCGGAATACAATCTTGAGTCTACTGAACGCGTTCGGAATCCATTCTGGAACACTTTCCAGAATGCATTTCGGGGCCAGTTCTCTGAACGCGATTTTGGTGTTTTGCATTCTGGAATCTATTCTGAATTTCAGAATAGGTTCTCTGAACACCCCGATCATATCTGAGATCCATGAGCCTCTCACTGGCTTTAACGTGGGCCCGATTAATTGAAGGACTGTGCAAATTGCTGAGAGTTTGAATGGAACCTCGTTCTTGTACAATGACGATCCCGTCGCTTTGAGTACAACCGATGGCAAGGCATGAATCGCTACGGGGAATCTTAGGTTCAGCGCGACTTGGGTTGCTTCTGAACACTAACAAGAGTGGAAATTGAGACAGGCTGCTGCAGCCACTCGTTCCGTATTCCGCCACGATCAATTTCATCGTGTCCTGCGCATCAGGACATTTCGTGAGTGTTTCTCTCGCAATGTTCTCGCTCAGGAGGACATTGTGGCCGGGTCTAACCTCAGCCAAGTCATCCGTGATAGATTCGAGGAGTTTGCGGACCTATACTCTGCATGGTAGAGTCGACGTCAACAATCAACGGTCGTTACCGCTTCGGTTCATCCACTTCAGGATGCCAGCGCAGTTCGTAGACGCAAGTGGTGATGAACTCGCCACCTGTACTCTACAGCATGACCTTCTAGGACTGGTAAACCAGAAAGGGCCGATAATTGGGAATTCACAGGCGAATTCATTTTCGTAGATAATCCGCGTAGAAAGAACAGGCGAGCGATTGAAGCTGTGGAATGGGTCACTGGTGTCCATCGAAACGTCGGATGATTGCTTCTGCGTAAATGACGAGAACCGCCAAGCCGAGATTTCTGCCGTCCTTCGGTTTAATGCAGATGGTAGGTGTGCATTTCTCAAGTTGCAGACCGTTGCAGCCCTTTTCTAACTCAGGTCAACATTCGAAGGCCACCTCGGTACGGTCTCCGATCTGCTTCATCTTTCCGACTGCGAAGGAGCGGAATACGTTCGTGGTCGGGATCGAGGTAGGTTTCTTAGAACGCGGACCAGTATGCCTCTCGTCGCGCGAATCACGTGTTGCCATTCTGACGCGGCAAAGGAGAATCACTGCAACCGAGGTTATCATTTCGAGCGCAAACAAGAATTCGAGTGTTGAACGCGAAGTGCCCTTCTGCGAGGCAAATGTCCGAGGTGAAAGAGAAGCTATGTGCATTCCGGTAGGCCGTGACAAATCGCACTCGCTGTCCTGAGGGTCTTGTGGTGTAGGGGGACCTCCACCATCCAGTTGAAAAGGCAGAGGTTATCAGTAGTGGGTAGGATCGGACTGTGCTTAGTTCATTAACTGCGATCAATCTGATTTCTTACGGGCTGCAGGTATGATATCTCCGCCTTAGACATCTTGGACCCGATACCATCTATTCCGGTCCCATTCATCCTACGGAGTATTTCGAGCCCGTCTGAGACTCACAGGCTGCGGGCAGTCACTTTTATAGGTAGTACGTGGAGGACAGATGGGGACCCCACCTGGGATAGTGTATTAATCAGTTGCGTCCATCTTGCAGAAAATTTTGGGAATCGGTTTACGCTGAGAGCAAGCGTATATGACCCTGCCAAGTCCATCTCGATTTTTATATCGGATGTGCTGAAGATCCGCTTCGTGGCTTGCTTAGCATAGACGCCTCCTGCCCTAGTGTATTCCGTCCCCCTACCCTACGTGGCAACAACTAAACTCGGGACCTCTCGCCGTCTTAGCGAAATTCTGACCCGTAGACCACATGTGAGCTCTTTTTGTCCGAAAAATAGATGACGGGTGTTTCAACAAGAACTGGCTTTTCAACTTATTTTTTTGTTTTTTTTGGAGGAAGGGTCGCTTAGATGGGGCTGTGCCGAGAATTGAACTCGGGACCTCTCGCTCTCGCACCCTAAGCGAGAATCATACCACTAGACCACACAGCCGTGAACAAAGTTGGTACCAGAGCGAGTTTGAGGGAGGCGTTCCGTCGTCGGGCGCAGGTAAATTTTCCCCGACCCGTCGTATTTTACCAGTACAACTGCCGCTGCTCTTCGGTGTCCCACCCAAACTAAATTGCTAACGCAATTCATCCCGCCCTGGCGATCAGAGACATGCACCCTCCGAGTGTTGCATTGCCAGAAACTATCTCGGTCCCGCTTGGACCCTTGCAATCTTGTAACACTCGGTGGGACCTACTCCCCGGGTGGTAGTGGGCGGGTTGAACTCTGCTTCGGCAATGGCGCCTGGAGAGAGCAAACAACTGACGGACGATGACTATTATTACCAACGGTAACCCAACCGTATATGCCAACTGGATTGCCGCCGCTATCCGATCGATATCTCGCTCGCCCGTACACGTGCAACTTCCATCATGCGCATTGCTGTTGTACTGCAGAACACTTCTTGTTCTTCCGAATATGGAGTAAGGGTCGCTTAGATGGGGCTGTGCCGAGAATTGAACTCGGGACCTCTGGCATCCTAAGCGAGAATCATACCACTAGACCACACAGCCATGAACAAAGGTGCTACCAGACCGAGTTTGGGGGAGGCGTTTGGTCGTCCGGCACAGGAAAATTTTTTCCGAACCGTCGTATTTTACCAGAATATGGAGGAAGGGTCGCTTAGATGGGGCTGTGCCGAGAATTGAACTCGGGACCTCTCGCACCCTAAGCGAGAATCATACCACTAGACCACACAGCCGTGAACAAAGTTTGTACCAGACCGAGTTTGGGGGAGGCATTTGGTCGTCCGGTACAGGAAAATTTTTCCCGAAGCGTCGTATTTTACCAGAATATGGAGAAAGGGTCGCTTAGATGGGGCTGTGCCGAGAATTGAACTCGGGATCTCTCGCACCCATACTTAGGGTCCCTAAGCGAGAATCATACCACTAGACCACACAGCCGTGAACAAAGTTGGTACCAGAGCGAGTTCGAGGGAGGCGTTCCGTCGTCGGGCGCAGGTAAATTTTCCCCGACCCGTCGTATTTTACCAGTACAACTGCCGCTGCTCTTCGGTGTCCCACCCAAACTAAATTGCTAACGCAATTCATCCCGCCCTGGCGATCAGAGACATGCACCCTCCGAGTGTTGCATTGCCAGAAACTATCTCGGTCCCGCTTGGACCCTTGCAATCTTGTAACACTCGGTGGGACCTACTCCCCGGGTGGTAGTGGGCGGGTTGAACTCAGCTTCGGCAATGGCGCCTGGAGAGAGCAAACAACTGACGGACGATGACTATTATTACCAACGGTAACGCAACCGTATATGCCAACTGGATTGCCGCCGCTATCCGATCGATATCTCGCTCGCCCGTACACGTGCAACTTCCATCATGCGCATTGCTGTTGTACTGCAGAACACTCCTTGTTCTTCCGAATATGGAGTAAGGGTCGCTTAGATGGGGCTGTGCCGAGAATTGAACTCGGGACCTCTCGCACCCTAAGCGAGAATCATACCACTAGACCACACAGCCATGAAGAAAGGTGCTACCAGACCGAGTTTGGGGGAGGCGTTTGGTCGTCCGGCACAGGAAAATTTTTTCCGAACCGTCGTATTTCACCAGAATATGGAGTAAGGGTCGCTTAGATGGGGCTGTGCCGAGAATTGAACTCGGGACCTCTCGCACCCTAAGCGAGAATCATACCACTAGACCACACAGCCGTGAACGAAGTTGGTAGCAGAGCGACTTTGAGGGAGGCGTTCCGTCGTCGGGCACAGGTAAATTTTCCCCGACCCGTCGTATTTTACCAGAATATGGAGGAAGGGTCGCTTAGATGGGGCTGCGCCGAAAATTGAACTCGGGACCTCTCGCACCCCAAGCGATAATTATACCACTAGACCACACAGCCGTGAACAAAGTTGGTACCAGAGCGAGTTTGAGGGAGGCGTTTGGTCGTCCGGCACAGGAAAATTTTTCCCGAAGCGTCGTATTTTACCAGAATACGGAGTAAGGGTCGCTTAGATGGGGCTGTGCCGGGAATTGAACTCGGGACCTCTCGCACCCTAAGCGAGAATCATACCACTAGACCACACAGCCATGAAGAAAGGTGCTACCAGACCGAGTTTGGGGGAGGCATTTGGTCGTCCGGCACAGGAAAATTTTTCCCGAAGCGTCGTATTTTACCAGAATATGGAGAAAGGGTCGCTTAGATGGGGCTGTGCCGAGAATTGATCTCGGGACCTCTCGCACCCTAAACGAGAATCATACCACTAGACCGCACAGCCATGAACAAAGTTGGTAGCAGAGCGACTTTGAGGGAGGCGTTCCGTCGTCGGGCGCAGGTAAATTTTCCCCGACCCGTCGTATTTTACCAGAATATGGAGGAAGGGTCGCTTAGATGGGGCTGTGCCGAAAATTGAACTCGGGACCTCTCGCACCCCAAGCGAGAATTATACCACTAGACCACACAGCCGTGAACAAAGTTGGTACCAGAGCGAGTTTGAGGGAGGCGTTTGGTCGTCCGGCACAGGAAAATTTTTCCCGAAGCGTCGTATTTTACCAGAATACGGAGTAAGGGTCGCTTAGATGGGGCTGTGCCGAGAATTGAACTCGGGACCTCTCGCACCCTAAGCGAGAATCATACCACTAGACCACACAGCCATGAAGGAAGGTGCTACCAGACCGAGTTTGGGGGAGGCGTTTGGTCGTCCGGCACAGGAAAATTTTTTCCGAACCGTCGTATTTCACCAGAATATGGAGGAAGGGTCGCTTAGATGGGGCTGTGCCGAGAATTGAACTCGGGACCTCTCGCACCCTAAGCGAGAATCATACCACTAGACCACACAGCCGTGAACGAAGTTTGTACCAGACCGAGTTTGGGGGAGGCATTTGGTCGTCCGGCACAGGAAAATTTTTCCCGAAGCGTCGTATTTTGCCAGAATATGGAGAAAGGGTCGCTCAGATGGGGCTGTGCCGAGAATTGAACTCGGGACCTCTCGCACCCTAAGCGAGAATCATACCACTAGACCACACAGCCGTAAACAAAGTTGGTACCAGAGCGAGTTTGAGGGAGGCGTTCCGTCGTCCGGCACAGGAAAATTTTTCCCGAAGCCTCGTATTTTACCAGAATACGGAGAAAGGGTCGCTTAGATGGGGCTGTGCCGAGAAATGAACTCGGGACCTCTCGCACCCTAAGCGAAAATCATACCACTAGACCACACAGCCGTGAACTAAGTTGGTACCGGAGCGAGTTTGAGGGAGGCGTTCCGTCGTCGGGCGCAGGTAAATTTCCCCGACCCGTCGTATTTTACCAGAATATGGAGAAAGGGCCGCTTAGATGGGGCTGTGCCGAGAATAGAACTCGGGACCTCTCGCACCCTAAGCGAGTATCATACCACTAGACCACACAGCCATGAAACCAGCGGTTGTCAAAGCGAGTTTGTGGGAGGCGGTTAGTCATCGGGCACAGCTGAGATTTTCTCGATCCGTCGTATCCTAGCAGGACATGGAAATAAGGTGGATTAAATGGGGCTGTGCAGAGAACTGAACTCAGGATCTCTCGCACTCGAATCATATCACTAGACCACACCCGCGGATAAATTAGTTCTTACTAAAAACTTCTTAGGGTAGGTGGCACTCCTCGTATGCGTCTCTTCCCTGGAAGACAAGTCGGAGAGAGGAATTAGATGACCTACTGCTATGTGTTTCGCAACACTTTGCCATGTTCTCCTTGTGAAATTCCCTCATCCTGCCACACGCGTTTTAGACTTTCGCGCTCTAGCCTCACGCGTAATCCGAGTTAGGTTACTAGACCCGCGTCAAGCAGTAGGCTCGCATGATTCCAGAACAGATCATACCACAATACAGCACGGCCGACGATGTCGACTATTCAGGGTTTTCTTGAAGGGTACTTCAGGGCTTCTTCTCAGATCTACGGCGGGTTCATGATGCACCTGCCATAGCCCTCCGAAAATATCACGTACTAGTTCTAGTATGCTGGCTGTTGGCTTCCGATTTGGAAGCTCTGAAGCACAGATAGGATCTTCTTCCCGCCAAGTTGGAGATTTTCACGACAAATCTCCGCTTGACAGCGCGATAGAATAGGCTAAAGTCTATGCTGAGTGACATGGCGAGACCTCAGGTCGGTCATCTTCAAGATTGCGACGGAATCTCGACTTGGTGCTGAGCGCGCCGGATGTCAGCCGGGTAGAGTTCGATTGTCAGAATGATACACCGGATGTAACTGATTGGCAGATACACTGTCGCATTGAAGTGTGGGATATCCCGGAAATGAACGGCAAGAGCTACAGAGTGGTCGCCTTTGACGAGGGAAGTTACTCAGGTGTGTTTCGCCATCTCACCAGTCACGTGCATGCTCGGCTACAGCCATCGTTTGCAGTTAGAATCGTAGACGGTACTGTAGCGAATCTTTATCGGGCATCTGGTCAATATCAGATCGAGCGGGCAAATAAAACTGTTGTTGCTATGGCGATCCCGTCATCCTACAGCAACAAGTAGCATAGAGCCCGTGGAAGGTACTTCAGTGGATGGCATACCTATTCGGCGAGGTAAAGGGAGGAGGCTGCTGCCAGGGTCGTACTTGAAGATTGGAGACAGGGAGTTGTGGGCCCTCGAGTAAGGCTTCTCTTGTTCTCTCCCTGATACTGCCTCAGGCACCATAGCCGTGTGTTCTCGAGCTCGTCGGGTGTCTGACCCAGTACTTCTCGTGTCCCTTTAACCCTACTCTAGGTACAATTCATCCGGGCTCAATCGCCGACCCGTGAGCAACGTTGAGTCGAATCCCCTCTATGCGAGCGCTGGCGGGCAACAGAAACCGGCAGCTAGGACCAACAACCGCTGCGTGTGGACCAGAGATTACACGGTTGACAGGAGTTGGTAATGCAAATGGTTCTCAGACTCCGGGTGAGCCTCTCTTCCCAGCGCTGCGGAGGACCTACAAAGGTGCGTCTCGACACAGGCTGTTGAAGAGTGGATGAGGGAGTAATGAAGGATGGGGCTCCTGGTCTTGCCAAGGGCCCCTGCGGCAGCCATTGCCGGACAGTACTCTCTCACAACATGCGGCGTCTCAGGAACGTCTACACCCGCAATTGGGAGTATAACCAAGAAGATGCGGCACGGATGGGTCTTCGCAGTTTCCGCATTTTCGATGAACAGAAAGATCAAGAAAACTGTGTTTCTCAGCGGATTATAGTCCGGAAGAAAGACACTGATGGTGAGAATGAGCGACAGTCTTGCCCGTAAACCAAGTACTGGTCTCATCTACGCTCAGAATCTTTGAAGAGGCTCCAAGGAGGCCTACTCGGACTCACAGTAGGCTGTGTCATAGAGTGCGAGATAGAACAAGTCCTGCACTGATGTGATGGTATGAGCCCAAGATGTCCACCAGGGGCAACGGAATTGTGTTCAAGTATCTCTGAGGGAGGGGGATTGACCGATAACCAAACACTGTAACTGAGACGCTGCATGAGCATCATCAACGTGTCTGTAATTCATGTCCATGGCTTGCAGGCGACAGCAGCCTTGGATAGCCGCTCTGAAAGGTCCACGGTGCCTCTGCCGTCGAAGGTCGCGACTTACTGCACTGCTGGATCGAGCAGCGTAAACTTTACGAAGGCTCCTCTCCTTGTCGTCCTCATTGATACTCCCTCGAGCACCTCCACAAAGGGAAGAATCCTCGATCGGCAGATCATCATCCATCCCACCCGTTCTCCGCGCATCCAAGCCACGCTGCACCGATTCCATCCCCTTACGCATGATGGCTGCCAGAGAGTGCGGGTCGGTCGAGTCCTCTTCGAGATGCCTCGAAAAAGATATAACAGAATGTTTGGGAGTGCTAATAGACCTCTCAAGAATTCCAAGAGGAGCTCCCAGAATTGAATTCAACGTGTAAGTGACCATCCTGGGTGCGCTCTCGAAACTCAGGAGAGGCCGTCTATTGCACAC